CTCATTTGCCAGGAATTACAAGAGATTAGTGGATTGCCATTTTATGGGTTTGAGTACATTTTGATAACACCACCACCAAGAGTGTCCTGAGAGTGATATAATCTTAAATTCAGAAGACACTTTAGTGTTTGATAAGCCCCAGGGGTCAGGTGTCTACAGGTGACTGTACAGTGTCTCCATCAGCCGCCCTGCCTATGAGAGATAGCTCTCCTCTCTCATCCAAGTATAAAGGAGTCCAGGAAGTGGCTCCTTCTTAGTGGTTTGACTCCTGGATACAGGGAGGCTCACTGAGATGGAAGCCAATGTTTTCTGTCCCCTTTAGTGCATTAGGATTTTTATGTGGAGTGTTGTGTTGTAAGTTATTCATATATTACTTTTCAATCTAGGAAGGGAGTCTGGGTTTTGAAGTGATAGCACATTGTGGCATGCATTATTTCATGGGAAGGTCACAGACAGGTAAGTATCTCACCCTTAGGCTTTCTGTTGCACTGTAGTTTTATGCGGGATGGGAAAGAGTGAGGATAATTCAGCATTAGAGATGGCTTAATTAGCTCAGTTAAGTATAATTGCATCATACAATTATATAATGATTCTTAGCATAATTATTAGCTAAATGCTTTGAAATTGTTAAGAATCCTGCAGAAACACTACAGGTGCTTCTAAAATTAAGGTCCCTTTGTTTTTTAGCAGCTTAGACTTTTCTAAGCTTTTTTCATATATATTATGTATTTGATCATCATAAACAACTTTCTTGCCAGAGACATTTGGAGCTCTGATTCCGTTTACAGAAGAGCTGGCTAGGAGATAGGAAAAAGAATTTGGAGTTGCCTGGGTTGAGTTAGAAGACTCAGTTGTAGGAGCATGGGGCTGAGAGAGAAGCTGTTTTGTACATGTTTTTATTCCCCTTATCTTTTAAATATAAAAATATTTAAGGAAGAATTTTCGAGGATAATGATTTCTCTTGGAGGATTTCTGTCCTTCCTCTGATACCCTCTTTGGCGCACCGATAAGACAGAATATAAAAGTAGGGTGGGAAAGGTGAACAGTTTATAAACATACCCCTTAGGCAGGCTCAACTTCTGGTCCCTGCCCTCTGTTGAGAATTGCTGTCAGTCCAGCATCCTCTGCGTGGTCACCGGGAAGGTGCAGGTGACCATTACTATTTACCTGGAGGTGGTTTTGCAGCTTAGATGTAAAGCGGTTAAAGTCCCAAGAATAACTGTAGCTTGGTTCAGGCTGTGTACTCATGAGCCATGTGTCTTTTATGTTGCTCCATGATTCGATTTAGTTTTGTTTTCTACATGCTTGTTTGGTTTGATATATCATCTTGTTTGATATATCATTGCGTTAGAGGGGCTTTTAGTGTAAAGCTGTCAGAGAATGAGGGGGCATTTAATTAATTACCCTCTGATTCTCTAAGTTTGAGACAGTTTATAGTCAGCCTTTGGTGTGATTAGCAAATGGAATCCTCTTCTCTGTAAATGTAAGCATTACTTCTGACCTAACTTTCAGAAAATCCTGATTGGCAAAGGAGCCTTTCCCTGGATCGATCAACCTGGGACGTGGATTTCGAGCTTGCGAATAAACTGTACGAACGATGGAAGAAATTAAAGAGTGGCGACACCTGCAAGTGCGTCTTTCACGTCTTTGCTCTCCCTCGGCACTGCACACGCGCACTTCCCATTGGCCTTGGTGGCACTTACAGAGCTGATTTCCCGCAGTCTTGCTCCCCAGCTTTTCTGGTTAACAGATTGCACCCCTCAAAGAGAGTGTGGAAGCACAGTGAGCACTCAGCTGATCATCAGCTTGATTGACCAGCTCCCCCTTTTTACCCCCTTCACTTTCTCTGCCAACGTAACTCAGCTCTATACAGCCATGTGTCCATGCAGCCGTGTGTCCATGCAGCCGTGTGTCCATTACAGCCGTGTGTCCATGCAGCCAGTTCTCATCGTTGGCTAGCGTTATGGTCAGTGGAGACACTGCACCCTGAGTTATGAGTTTGAATCCCCTGGGCTTGGGAAGTACGGGTTAGGCTCCTTTGGGGCTCTTGTCCCTGCATTTTTGTTACTGGGTAGATGCCTGTGGGTGACCTCGGTGCACATGTGTCTCTGTGTGAACACATTGTGTGTGGTAGGTAGGGCTGTTTCATCAGTATTGAACTCCAGGTGAGCAGCACTAGCGCCGTGCCTGGGAGCTTATTGGACACACGTGTTCCTCCACAGGGTATGATAGCCCGCCAGCACTATGCTTGGCCGGCCTTTTGAACCACAAAAGGCACACGAGTACAAAAGTTGTGGCACTGACTAGACTTACTCGCATCATGGGCGCTGAGACCAGAAGGCAGAGCCCTGCCTTGTCTGATGTCAGTTAGGACCATCGGCATCAGGCGACTCCCAATCGTTCACCACTCTGGGTTGTCTGCAAATGACCAGAAAAGTGCCACTGATACAGTTGACCCTGGCGCAGTGCAGGGGCCAGTGCGCCAGCCAATCCCTTACAGTCGTAATCCACACAGGATTTTTGACTTCCCCACACTTAGTTGCTAGCAACTTACTGTTCATTGGAAGCCTCATGGTAATGAGAACAGTTGGTTAATATGAAGGATGAATAACTATTTTGTGTGTGGTATGTATTATGTACTGCACCCCCATAAAAGCTGCATTTTCAGTACCAGATAAAAGGTGCTTTGCAGGAAGTGTAAAGTTGTGCTTTCTGGTGTACTTGCAGCAGTGGGTTCATGTATTTCTTTTTTTACCATCATTCTTAGGCTGGATTTGGTTATTTTGAAATAGGCAGCAGATATCAAATCTAGCAGCCCTGATAGCACGGTGAGGTATGTGTTGGGCTGCTAATTACAAGGCCATTGGTTCAAAACCACCAGGTGCTCTGAGGGAGACAGGCTGGGCTTTTGTTCTGGTGAAGAGTTTCAGTCTTGAAAACCCACAGGGGCAGTTCTACCTTGTCCCATATCAGCTTGATGGCAGTGAGTTTGAGCCCTTAATCGACAGTGCAGACATTACTTTCCCTTGTAATGCATGACTTTTATCTGCCTTAGGACACTTGCAGCATCTCTAGTGGCACTTTGTTGGGGTCCCCTGGTGATAGCGAGGTTTACCATCACTGCACTAAACACGATGAAGAAATCATGAGACCCACACGAGATTTCTTGGAGAGGTGAACTGCTCGTGCAGAAATGGTTATCAGCCTTAAAGAAACAGTCGTGCCTCAGTGGGCCCATTTGTAAACTCCTGTCGTTCGAGAGTGAACTATATTGCTCTGACGGTTACAAATACATGTTAGCAAGCATGAAAAGTTTCCAAAGGTGGGATCTGTGAATAATGAGGATTGGCTGTATATAGACGATAGATTTATTTTGCTTAATCATTGGGAAGTAAGCTGTATATATCCTGATTCTTCATATCTCAATAGTTTTATGTTTGCTAAGAAGCCTATTTTCTTACTATACCACAACTACAGTGCCATCGCCATACCAATAAACTTAGCATTGATAAAATTCTATTATCTCATAAGCTACCCATATTAAAATTTCCCTGGCTACCTCCCAAAAAGTGGAGTAGTGGTTATGCATAGGGCTGCTAAGTGCAAGGTCCGCGGTTTGAAACCGCCTGCTACTTTGTCATGTTTTCTCTAGACAAGTGGCTCTACCTTCATCCTTGAAGAGGCTGACAGGTTTTAAGGGTCTAGGTCAGTTCTCTTTAGAGCCCCCCGTACACTTTTTCCCCGATTGTTCCCTCAAGTAAAACGTGTTACTCAAGAAATGTAGATATGGATGATCTGTTAGGTTTCTGCACTTGTTTATAAAATCCAACCAAAGGCAGTGGCCGGCAAGTGTGTTCTGGCTCTCGGCCCTGAGCTTGCTGCGCAGAACTGCCCCTTAGGGTGTCAAAGCTGTGACTGTTCAGAAGCAAATGGCCCAGCCTGTCTTCAAAGATGCCACTGGGTGGGTTCACACTGCCTGCCTTTTGGTTAGCACGGGGGTGCTTAACCTCCTGCACAACCCTGGGAGCAGGAGGGACACGCATGTCAGTAATTGGCGTTGTGAACAGTCAGACAATTGGCTTAGGTGATGTGGGACAGGTACTCACCTGCTGTCACCATGCAAATAGTCCTGGTGTGGGATAGAAGTTTCCTTTTCAAAGACTCTTTTTCCCCTTTTGACCTCATGCATATAAATGTGTTCTGTCCACTGAGTAGTTTTATTTGGCATTCAGTGATATGCATTGCAAAATGGTAATCAATCTAATTATGCTGCTCACGTTATGTTTATGAGTAGATGTTCTAAAAATAGGGATTCTCTTTTTGGAGTTTTGCTATGGCTTCTTTACTTTCCCCCCAGAAAAAAAACTCACTGCCATCGAGTCAGTGTTGACTCAGAGCCACCGTACAAGACCGGGTAGTTGAACTGCCCCTGTGAGTTTCCGAAAGTGTAACTCTTTACTGGAGCAGCTGGTGGTTTTGAACTGCTGACCTTGTGGTTAGCAGTCTAGCTCCTAACCTCAGGGCTCCTATCCTTTTAAGGTATTGTAATTCACTAACAACATTAGTTTTGATATTTGAAATCTCTTGGGACAAATAGGGAGCCCCTATTAAGCTAGTCTTAATGTCCCTGGGATATGTTCCCCTTGTTCTTCAAGGGCTTCCTTGCTTTTCATTGAAACAGAATGCCCCAGGCTTGTCTTGTCCTCTCCCTTCTCTAGACCCCAGATTTTCCACAGGGTCTTCATTCCTTTTAGTGATAGTTGTATTTAATGAACTCCCCACTCCCACCTTTTTCTTTGTCATCAGAGGTATTTTTCATAATCATTTCTCTTCTTTCTGAATTAAACAGGCGGAATGTTTTAGGAATGACTCGCTTTGCCCACTCGAAGAAATCCAAGGAGTCAGAACCCTTCCTTTCCTTTTTGCCGCGTCTCATCACAGAGCCCAGCCTCGTGTTAAACTTCAGTGCCACCGCCCTGAGGAACAGCGCGGTGAGGAAGCTGTCTTTCTGTTCTCCTGGCTTTTAAGCACACCAGGGTAACTCCACCTCGGCCGCCTCCTTCGGGACCCAAGTACATTGAAACACACTTTATGGGGCACACATGCACCACGCAGCACGTGTAGGAGTGAGGTGTTAAACACAAAGGAAGGCTTTGTGGTGTGCTACGCTGCAAGTATGTACCCATGTTACTTACAATGTTTAGATGCCGTTCGAGATCCTAACTGTGGATATAGTTAGCTGCAAAGAGCAGAGCTTGTTGTGTCCAACACGGCTTACCTAAGAGTTTGCCTGTCTCCCACAAGAAAGTCCGGAGGGAGGAGGGGAGTCTTGGCAGGGACTGAGACACTTACTGTATGCTCACACTCAGCGTTGGGGGTTCTGCCTGCCACCTCCCTCATGGTGTCCAGGGGGACAGACAGAGGAAGGGTGCGATGCCGTACTCTTGGGGCTCCTTGGCAAGGACTTTCACATCCACTCACCAACCAGCTGCTTGCTTGTGCGGCAACGTGGGCTCAAACCTACCTCACACCATGACCTTACCTTCTTGACCAGTGTCTAAAACGTGATTCGTCCTTTATTGCGTTTTTATCGGAAGGAGTGAAGGAAGAAGAGGTCAGGTCGGTTGGCCTCGGGGAGTCCGCCACAGCCCTCTGATGTCAAACCAATACTTTTGTGTACTTTTATGTTGGCCTGAACCATGAAACCCAGGCACTTTTTCTGATGGAAGAGAATTATTATGTCATAATGTGGATTTAGGTTTAAGTCAGCCTTAAAAATTATCCATGTATTCTTGGAATGTATAAAATGGAACTTAAATATTGAACCAGCACTTTGGAGCTATTGAGTTGAAGTCTTGTCCCTTCTACTAGGTTGTTGGATATTCAGGCAGGTCATTGAGTCCATCCACATGTTCCTTTTCTCCAACACGTTAATCTGTAGGCCCTCTAAAAGTCATGGGTAAATTATTTCAGCGCTTAGTTATATAAAACAAGCATATGACTCATTCCAGCAGGATATGTTATTGTTCATCTGCAATCTGAATGGCTGACGTGTTGAAACCCACTACTCCCATGAACAGCTAAGCGGTTCAGAAACTCACCGGGGCTGTGCTGAGTCAGCATTGACTTGCTGGCAGTGAGGAGTCATGGGGAACCTCATCTTTGGAAACAAAATTTGGAATGTGAACCATTTCTCACAATTTTCTCTCTTGGTTTATACATTTGGATGCTTCTCCTTTCTTCAGTATCTGGCCTTTTTTTTTGGTCACGTGAGGTTAAAAATCCTCGTCTCTTGGGATGACATAGATGGGTTTGTTTGTCCCCAGAAGCTGTCACTGGTGGCAGTTTCTCAGGAAATGTGGTCATTTTGGTTATGTGGGTCCATGCTTGCCAGGAGCTTCAGAGTAGGATGTGAGGGGGGGTTCTGAGGAGGGGCTCTTTGGAGGTGTGGCTCCATCAGAAAACAGGCTGTCGATTGGTTCCCACGGTCCTGTGAGCCTGTAGCTGCCTGGTCCCATAACAAGTCTGCAAAAACAACCCGAGTTAGAAGTTGTACCCCTTCCTGTGCTCAGTGAGTTCCTTAAGATGGCACCGTGAAGATTATGTTTTAAGAAATGTCCTCCGTTTGAAATAATTTCAGTCTTAGAAAATGTTTCGTGAATTTGAGGACTACGCTCAGGGCTAAGCATCCCCACTTGCCCTTCGCATAGTAACTGATGATGTATCATCTCCTGCGTCATCTTCCTGTCCCTGTCGGCACCCCGTTTTAATCCCCTGTTCCCGTCTCTAGGTGAAGTACTTTGTCGTGAAGAACCCCTCCTCTCGGCCC